GCGCCTATTTCGACTTAGCCGCCGTAGGTTACACGAGAATTGGAAGGAATTAGCGACAGACTCGCCGATTTGCCGCACAACACTACTTTCAGGTTAAAACTAGTTACCACCAATTAAAATTATTTTATTATGTGGACAACAACTAAGGTTAATTAGCCACTTGTCCAATTAGCCATAATTGGTTGATTTTTGTAAAAAAAAAATTTCCAAAATCAAATCAGAAATTTTATTACACATATATAAAAATTTTTGTGATTAAAAAATTTATTTACATAACATGTTCACATTCTTTATAGGATCACATAAAAGCATTACAATTTTGCCATACTTTTTGTTATTTACTAAAAATATGCAAAAATATTTTTTCTACTTTTACTCTAAATTATAATTGAAAAAAAATTAATTATGAAATTTAGGTCTCGGAATTTTGAATGATTTCGTAGGTGCTTGAGTCTTAGAAGGTGTGACTGGAGGGGTATTGTACGGTATTGTTTTCCGAGTTTGAATCTTAAGAGGCGTTGCAGACTTCCTACGAAGCCAAGGGTGGGTGGAGTATTGTCCAGTATTTTTGTCTGCGTTTGAATCCTAGGAGGAGTGTTATCCGGTATTTTTATCCAATCACGGACACAACGGGTAACATCAGTTTTTAATGCATTTTCCATTGATATTTCCGTTTTTATATTACGTCTTTCGGTTAGTAATTTCTATAATAGTTAGAAGTAGAACTTTAATAAACAAATCATATGTTTGATATTAAAAAAAATAAATAGTACCTCTAAAAGAACTCCAAATCTAACAATATTTAATAACTCCCATCTTTCAGAGTACGAGGTAGGAATTTTAAAGGAAAATATTTCATATATCCTGTAAGTTTTTATACGAATCATGTCCGTAAGATATACTGAGATTAGATATTCTAAAAAAAGAGTTAGAACAGTTAGTATATTATAAATAGTGTATATAACAAACAATATATACTTACTGTATCCGTGAATTCCGACAGATTTCAATTTCTTTGCCGTGGTAACTGTACAATTCTCATTATTCGTAAAATGATAATTCAAGTCATCAACTCCATTACGTGCTAGTTTTACAAAATCATCTAGTTTGTGTGATAGCACAAATTCTGTAGGTCCATATGATTGTTCATATAGAACTGTTGCATCCTTATCTTGGTATAGCACGGCATCATTTTTGTTTGCATGTCCAGACTTTGCCGGTTTTTGGGTATAATTGATGTTGTAAGCTCTGTCATTATGAGCTTCATTCAGAATCTCGCCACTATAACCAGAATACATTGTAAATAATAACATAAAATAGAGAAAATTTATATACAACACTTACAACGCAATTCCGGAAATCGTATTCCCAAAAAAAATTAAAAATAGATCCAGAATACGATATACGGTTTGTGTCGACCAGGTTTTCTCACCACCTTCCTGTTGCAAGCCACCATAACGGTAATAAAGGAGAAAATGTCTGCAAACTTCTCTGGTCCATAATAACAATGGGCACGCGTCATAATTGAGCGGCTTTTCTACTTTAAAGAACGCATTCTCAACATCACCTGTAAGAAGTTCTTTGACATATTCTTTTATGTCTTCAGGTAGATTAAATTCAACTGTCGTATCATCAGATATTACGTGAAATAACCCGTCTGCATCCTCCTGGGATAGTTCCGTAAATGGCTTACATAATGGATATATGTTGCGACTCCTCAACTCGAGAAATTTTGTTTTTACAATATCAATCTATACAGTATAATAGGTTTGTTCTTAAGTCAGTTGGATCCAAGGAAGAAAATATCACCAAATTGAAAAAAAGTACTTGCCGTTTTGCGTCTTTTAGGAGACTGTTCCTGTCAAAAAAGGAAGCATAGGTATTAACAGCATTCCTAATCAGAAATCGCAGAGAATCAAAATCTTTAGCTACATACCTGAGCATCTAAAGAAGGATCAATATCCTCTTCTTTGTCATCGTTATCTTGACTTTTTGTTATCTCTAAATCGGACTTGGTTTGATCACTTGTCTTCTTAAAAAAGTAATATTACAGATTAGGAACGAGCTTATGCACATCATACGACAAACAAAACGAAAAAAAAACATTACTAAAGAAGCCTCAGTTGATGTATCTGCAACTTCGGCTGATTCTTCATTGTAACCATTTAAAGAAATATGATCGTGAAGGTTGGGAGGTGTAATAACAGGAAAGCGTTCTTCAGTTGGTCGTTTTTTTGTATCTCCTGCTCCTGTTATTGACTGTGAATAATATATTAGTAAATTAAACAAATGTTTAATTATCAACAATATTTCATACCAATGTATCATTAACATTCTCAATAGCAGAACGAACATTCCCCATTGTTGTTGCAAAGGTTTTTTTGGAGATACTTATAAATGAATTAGTAGCTTCAAACTACATAAAGTAAAAGGAAATACATTAATAGAGATCAACGTTATTAAGTAAGCAAGAAAACTACAACCGCTGCGGTCTGTAACTGATCCTGTAACCGTCCATTTAGTTCAATTTTATTCCAAAAAGCGTTGACATCACGAAAATTATTACGGTGGCCCTTAAAAAATAAAGAATTAATATGATTAGTTAAAGTATGGCTTTCCTTAGTCTACGCGGAATTACGAAATTACTACACTACGAAAAGCAAGTACAACGGACATTCCGACCATAAGGTAGACAGCATTCCATTGTCCACCGTAGTTGTGGAGGGTTCATTTTCTTATAGCAGACATTCCGACCGTAAGGTGACAGCATTCCATTGTCACCGTTTCTATAAGACTCCCTCTGCTAATCACTTATGCATAGAATAATTATAAAAAATCAAATAAAGTACTTTCCATAAAAATGGTTTTCAGTTGACTGGCAGTTTTCTTCGATTCTTCCGGACCATCCTTCATGAGATTATCAAGATCCATTTGTAGTTTGTAGGATTCCTTCTGAAAAGAGAAAGTAAAGTCCGCTTGCTTCGCGCGGTATTCATAAAAGCCCAGAAAACGATATTCTTTAGGGTCAGTTTCATTAAAGTAAGCACACCACTTTCCAGACATGTCGTTTGATTAATTAGATTTTTTTTGACAGTGCAATCTGGGCGTGCTTATATACTACAAAGGGTCCGGAATGGGCCGGGCCGGGCTCAGGCCTAGTTCGGGCCTAAATTTTTGAGCCCATTATTATATGAAAGGTGACGTGACGGTACGTTGTTGTTGCAGATCTTACTTAGTTAAGGTTAGGGATAGGTTAATTACTATTTTAGATAGTGATCTGCATCAATAACGCGGGTTTCTATCGCGGGTTTCACCCTGTCGTATTATTATTTGGGCCCGGGTTTGGGCTTTTTGCATCAATCTAATTGGATGTTAAATGTCACGCACTAAGCATGGAGTAATACAAATAGTAATGGTTTCGTAAAGTAGCAGAGTATAATACGCTAAATTAGCAAACACGTGAGTACGGTTGATGAGTATAAGTATACATTATTGGGCAGGCGACAAAAAATAACAGGCAATTTTTTTTTGTCGGAGTTAAGTCACTCCATGTGCTGCTACGTAGCACATGAGTGAAATTAACTCTAATGAAAAAAAATCGCCTGTTATTTGTCGTACGTATGCTCAATAATGATGTTATTGAATAGTTAATATGACCATGTGAAATGTCGAATGCAAACATAACGTTAAAAGGTCAGCATTACTACTAATCGAAGGCACAGTCATATGATACTTGATGCGACAATGAAGTTATTCTTGCAATGGAACTTTTTATAATGAACGCACTCTATGTTCTATAACAGTATAATAAACTTTTTTAAAAAATATTATTATAGTTCGTTATCGGAAAATATTAAACTACTTCTATAAGAACTTTTAACAAAAATTTATTATAAGAACTATCAGTTCATTATATGAAAACTACCTGTTTATTTTCATATGTAAAGTTCTGAACAAATGTTACATAGTTGCCTTTTTTTAAACCTTCAAATGATGGCAGCAGCCATGCCCGGCCCATTCCGGGCGTTATAAATTGTATCATTTTAGCATAAATTTGGTAATGATTATCTGATCACGCCTAGTCGACTAAACAAAAATTTTGAGTTTTTTTTTATTTTTTAGTCGATACGGCCAATCAGATTTTGGGGTCGGGTGTGATCCCATGTCGCTAACGAGTCGGAACAGGTTAATATAAATCCAGGTTAACTCGATTTTGTATTATCACTAGGTAAATGCATAGCATTGTATGTCCGGAGCGAGTATGAAATTTTATACAGTCAGGGATTTTACTAAATTAGGAAATCACATTCTATAATTTTATCATCGTGGGATCTTTTGATACTTTAAATAATCATGTGATCGACATTTCTATACTATAGGGGTCGGCTAAAGCGGGCGAGTTTTAGAGTTACCCAATTAGGGTTAATAGGTTATATAGAATATCAAGAATGTAATTTATACAGTATGATGATTATATGGGGGTGAGCCAGTAGAAATCAAGCAAATTGTTTTTATTGAGTTGTTTTAAAAATTTTAAATACTAATACTTTAACAAAAACTTAATCAAATTTTTTTTAAATAATTTCTATAAGTTTGTAAAAATTCATTTTAAAATTTTTTTATTAAATTTGATTAATTTGTTGTTAAGTTATTGTTATTCAAAGTTTTAAAAAAATTCACTTAGAAAAAAATTGCTTGATTTCTACTGACTCAACCCCATATATTGAATTAACTCCGCTTTAGCCGACCCCCATTTTTGGTAAAATCCCTGACTGAACTATACTATAAATGTGTTACTATTTGATTGGACGATTTTCACGTTATGTTACCGAACAAACAAACCTTGCATATCACCCTTTACAAATAAAATCGATCTGTGGTTTTTTGTTTTATCATTTCGCAAATAAAGTGGTCACGTGATGTGCAATGGGACAGGCAGAAAATTTTCATATTACTTTTTTGATGCGATATTATTAATTAAACTAATAATTACATCAAAATGTGAACTTTTGTATCACTTTGCTGATCATTTAATGTCCTTCGCTACGCTCCGAACAATAATAAATCGGTTTTATGTATCTTGATCCGATTGTAAAATTCGGACAACTCGGTTTTTAAAACTTAAACCCAGTTTGTTTCAAGCATGTTACGAAGTAATATATTTTACTGTGAATCGGTTTAATCAAAGTAATGTTAAAATTCCACACGAACAATTACATCATAAGATAGCTGCGCAACAGTATCGGTATTTAGTAAACATATAGGTTAGTGATGTAGTATATGCAAAAAAATTTTTAGATTGTTCTAGATCGAATCATGAAAGTACCCTTTTCTCAAATTTTTGATATCTTTTTTTACCTTTCTCAGAAGGCGCTTGTTATGGGTTTTAAATATTTTAGGCAAGATTCAGTCATTTTTAGGCTAAGATCGCTATCTGCTTTTGGCAAAAAAAATGCATATAAAAGGAAATGATAGTATCACACGAATTTGAAAGCGTTTTGTATAGTAGGCTATTGATCTTTATTCTTGATTCTTGAACTAGATCTTGATTCTTGATCTCTAGCGCTCCGTTTTCACTCTGCTGCGAACAGCATTGAAGAAGTTCGTTTTGATTGGTTAATTGTAGATCTCGGATCATAGCTCGGATCATATCTCGGATCATACCTCGGATCATATTTCGAAATGAATTCATTGACTCACCTCTGATTGTAGAAATTCAATCAACCATATGTCCTGACCTTTCCGACGTTGTTAAGACCGGTAAAACTTTTGTTTCTCATTCACTTTTCTAATCTTTTGTATCTTATTGTATCTCAAGTCAAAAAACATTAGCTTTACAGCTAAAATATAGAATATTATGCCGGTTGTTGTATTTTACATATAATAAAAAATTTTTTCATTTATCACGACGATCTTTACTTATAAAAGTACTTTAAAAATTACAATTGACTGTATAAAAAAAAGATCGTTGCCAATCATATTTATTCTAATTTCAGCCAATCAAAATGAACTTCTTCAATGCTGCTGCGAACAACAGTTGTATTTATAAAAAATCTGCATCTCAGCTGATCATTACTAAATATGCTACCTACGAAGCAACGCCTCACAGATACGTAATACATTTTTTTCAATCTTCTCGTGAAATTATACTTATACAATCTTATGTAGCTGAAGTTTTCGATGAATGCTATTCAGTAAGGTATTTGATCCTTAAATTTATTAGCCCTTAGATTACATTAAGTCATGTATTTGCTACAACTATATTTCTACTATACGTTTAATAATTATATCTATTCATTTTATGTAAGCGAAAAAATCTTTGATAGAAATGTTGTAATTATAAAATTAAGTGATATAACGTAATGATTTATAAATGATTTATAAATAATATAATAAATATTGTACGGCTTCTTAATCTGTTACATAAGCAATTTACAGTTAAGAAAAACAATTGTTTAATTAAATTCAAATGATAATTTATAATTATTATCCTACGGTTTCATAAGCAATTCATAAGCTAAACATGCAATTGACCAATTGAATACAATTGTACAATGTAGAGATCATAAATTATTGAATTAAATTTTATGAAATTTAAAGCTACGTAATACTTTATGACCATCAAACATTATCCTATAGATGTTATTAGTTTATTATTATACGACAAGGTGAAACCCACGAAAGTGGTTACGTTATTGATACAGATTACTATCTAAAATAGTAACTAACCTATCTCTAACCCTAACTAAGTAAGTTCTGACAGCGTAACTATCTCTTTCCCCTGTCGTATTATTATTATTTGGTTCGTTATATACATACAGCCTTCGGAAAATTGATTATAATTATTACCAACCAAAAATTTAGTACTAAAATCTAGATCACGAAAATTAGCCGATAATAGAAACGTATATCGTATGACCCATATGAACAATAGAACTATTGTACCGTATAGCATTTTGAATATTGTAAATAGCCCCTATAATTAATTTCACGCTTTACTAAGGCTCGATTATTATTCACCATCTGGTTTATTTCTTGATCAGTACCGGGTGTAGTACTATTTTCGTATACTATGTTCCCGATACAGCACCCAGTTCCCCAGGACTTAAAATAATTCTTTATATGCACTGTTCATCGTACGGTGCTACAAAACGCAATAGAACGGAATAAAATAAATTACGAACTTCATACGTAACTTTAAAGTATGCTTAACACTATCTACCGATTTACCTTATTAATACAGTATTTATATACTATATTTTTTCAGTTATTTTTCGTAACTTATTTCCAACCATAGAACCCTTTAACCACCATTACTTTTCTTTCTATTGTACTACTTTCTTCACTTGAATTATTACAATTATTAAATTAAAAACACCAATAAACATCTATTAAATTCTTATTTTGCTGTTATTCTTTAAGCAAGATAATCCTACAGTAGGGTGTTCTGAATTATGCGAGATCAATTCTATCTGTCAAACTCCTCTTCCACCAATCGTATCTCATCTAAGTCTATTTTATGCTTTTTTATCTTAATTACACGAAGCATATGAGATGCAAAACAATAGCAAATTAAACGTATCATTTTGCATCGCATATTCTTAGACACTCTATATACTCTTCCATTCTATATCTAATCTGACCAAAATCTTTCAACCCATTGCTTCTTTATTTCATAAATTACTCACTGCATCTGCATCTTCTCCAACGCGAACCTTGTTTAATAAATTAATACTAATTACTTTTGAGCATTAAAAATAATTAATAATTAATGATATAATGTATAAATATTCATAAAAAAAATTTGATTTAGAGATAAAAAGTTAAAAACATTACTTTTGTCCAGATAATATAACTAAGACTATGTAAAAGATTAAGTTGTATAATAGAACTTTTTCATGATGAACTAATTTCGAACCTATAACATCGGAAATAAGCATGTGCCCATAATTTTCGATAAAAAAAACTAATTCACATCATTTCATCCTTACCACTATAGTTCATTTTTGTAGCATTCCACTCCGCCAAATAATTGAAAAAATTGTTGTTTAATGACTTAGTACGATATGCGATTGCCGGAAAATTTGCTTGATATAAGTTATGTGACGAGCATCAGGCAAAGCCACGATTTTCTCGGAAAAGAATGCCGATATATAACAAGAAGAGGGAACATCTATAGAAGCGGAAAATCAATTAACATTGTGATGACATGTTTAAAGAAATTAGCCGAATGATAAACTGTCCTACCTTATTATTATTTCGCGGAATATACGAGTTCGCTTGATCAGGGATATTAAAGATGTAAATTATGGTGTTTGAATGTTTCGTTTATTTTTTCTATTTGCACAAGGCGGATAAAGATTCACTAACTGGGCGGACACCTTTTTATATAGTTTACACTATGTCTAGATTCGATAGTCTTTCGAAATACGTCTTTGGATGATCGCATCACGAAGATCTGACCGATGACAGAGTAGTGATTGTTCATATTACATTAAAAATGTGACACCCCTTCCTATTCTATGTATTTGCAAAAAGAAAAAAAAATCGGAATAATAGTGTATACGCGTAATATTGGATGCACTAACATCAAAAGGACAATACATTCTATTTTACAAATTTAATCATTATGTGAGACGACATATAAATTCGGGGCGGTTTTTTTATTATATCATAACTTTCGAGCAAAAAAATGAATGCAACTTGGATTCTATCAATAGATCGAATTGCAGTTATCATGATGCAATGCGTAATCAAAATTTTATTAATAGACTTGGAAACTTAATACGTGCAGACTACATATATCGATATGGTACTGGTACTTCTATACTAATTAGAATCAAATTCCCCATTACCACAATCCTCATCATTACAACTCCTATTCTCTTTTCCTTCGTTAAGTCGTTTAAAATCTGTTGGAATCAATGGGGGAGAACTCATTTTAACGCTGTTGCCATAATCCGTATAGTCATATTCCAATTGATTTCTAACTTTTCTTCAAATTGTTCTGTAAAAAATAAAATCGAACCATTATAATAACAATTTTATGGTATTAAAGTTACACAAGCCTTAATCACTTACCAAGCTCATTTTTTAACTCATTTGTAAATTTTGAAAGTCTCCACTCTTCATTCCAAAGCTACGAAATTCTTCCATTGTAAACTCGAGAAAGTCGCCACCGCAGATAAAAATTGATTTATAAATATAGTACATATCAAATAAGATAGCTGCGCAATGTTGTCACGCAAAACCAGGAACGGAAGACGTAAAGAGTATTGGTATTGCATGCAGTAAATACAGTATATAGGTTGTTGCACTATTGGGCATATGTAGTGATGTGTTATATATACAGTACACTATGTACTGTTAGTTAGCATAATTGTGGCTAGCTAGTATAATTCTGGTCGGATTGCATAATGCAGTGGCCAGGGATAGGAAAATCAAGGTTTTATTGAATCTACTGCACAGGCTGTGCAGCTTGCACAGCCTTAGTTCCTAGATACATACTCATTAGGTTTTGTGTTTATACATATAAAACATCTATTTCATATATGTAAAGTTGGGCTCCCATCATTTTTAATTAGTACTTCAAGGTTAGTTTAAATGTCAGTTTTTGTTGTTTTACGTTTTTTCACTTTTCTCTGCATATTGGTAAATTTGGAATTTTCTTATTTTAAGAAAATCCTGAGCTGCCGGCCAAAAGATATGGGTCATAGTATATCAAAAATTCATTATATGGGTCATAGTCTAAAAAAACCCCTCTCTGAAGGATAGTTTTCATTTTGAGAAAATAATGATTTAATGTTTGTATTATATAAAGTTTTGTTGTTTTTTCTCTTGAATTTTTGATTTATTTTTAGATATTCAATCATGTGACAAAATTTTAATTAATAATTTGATCATGTGTTTTTTTATTAACATATCTTGTTTTTTTAGCATTATTACACAATGTTTTTAATCAAAAATAAAGAAATATATTTTCATCATATATTTTTTTAGAGCAGTTAGAATTAAATAATTATAAAAATAATAAGTTAGTACAAGAAGTTGCATAAGACTTATAGAAATTTTTTCAATCTAAAAATTGCAAATGCTAAATAAGAAAATATTATCAATATTTTGAAACAGTTGGTTTAACTAATTTTTTAAACAATATATGCAATTTTATAGCTTAGATAAAAAAAAAATAAACTTAGTTTTGATAGGTCAACTTATAGCATTTGAATATAATCAAACAAATAAAATTATTAAAAAATTTAATTATCAATTTAACAATAACATTAAACTCTATAAAAATATATTTCTCAAGTTAATTGAAGTTGAAAATAATTGTCTTATTGGAATTAAAAAAATTGATAATTAAAGAAATAATTGAATAATTATATGACAATACAAAGTACAAACAAATATATAAAGATTGATTAAATAGTATCAACTTTAATTTCTATATTTATTAGTAATTATGCTAATATTCATGAATATTCTTCTTCAAGTTAACATTTACAACATAATACACAAACAATAATTTACTTACTAATAGATAAAAACTATACTAAAGTATATACTAATTTTATCAAATGTCTTAATATTTTTTCTGAAAAACTATTTGATACAATTAGTTATAAAAGGTTTGTTTATATTTAAAAAAAACTATTACTACATATTAAATTTATAATGTTTGATACAAATTTATATAAAATATATAAATTCTATTAAAGTTAGAAAATTCTAATAGTTTTTGTTTATATTCTTCAAAATTTTGAAGTTTCTTTTTGTTCATAATTGGAAATAAGTTTTTAATTGCAGAATCAAGATCTTTAGAGTCTTCTAAAGGCAGTTTTCTTATTTTAAAATAATCTTTTAGCAGGGTATCAAATTTGTATATCTTATATAGAGCAATTACTATTGATTTGGTTTTATATCTATATGTAATTGGTAACTTATATTAAAGAAGTTGTTGTATCTTTTCTAGTATTTTATTAGGATAATTTGGTAATGCTGTTTGGATATTATTCAGACTATTTATATAATTTCTTTTATGATTTGTAGGTCAAGTACTAGTTTACTTTTAATAAATCCTTTTGTGTATTTAATTATTTTTGTGATTATGTTTTCTGACATTGTATTAAAGTTGCAGTTTGTAATATAGTTAATAATAATCTTTTGTTATAGTTTAGTTTTAATAGTTTTTAATATTTGTGCATTAGTAATTATGATCTTGTTAATTAGTTTGTATTCTTTTATTGCACATTTAAGTAATGCTTTATAGTCTTCTTAATAGGTTAGTTATATTGCTTTATTTCTAGTAAATATAATAAAAAATGTTGTATCCAAGTATCTGAATTTTGTATTAATTGCATTGGATATATAAAGGCTTGTTGGTTTGTGTATTAATTTGTATTCAATAAATTTTTTTATTTTTTGTTTTGTTTGTAATAGCTTAAGTATTTTGTTGTAATTTCAAATTTTTATATTAAAGAGTTCAGTAATTTCACTTGTTAGTTTATTCTGAATTGTATTAATCTATTGCATTTCTGTATTCTCATTATTATTTTGTCTTATAATATTTTTGCTAGTAGCTTGGCTATATGTAAGTTTGTATTTGTATTTATTCAAATTATTACTAGAAATAGTTGCATATAATTAGTTGTCTCATTGCATTCTTTCAATATTTATATTTTTTTTGTCTATATTGATTCATCTGTTTGCATGTTCTGAGTTTCAATTTTGTCTAAACTGAAGTTTTGTAGTTCTGAAGTATTTAGACTGTTGTTAATTAGTGTACTGCTGTTTATAGTAGTTATTGTATTGCTATTATCTGCAATGATTTACATCTTTTTATTTTTGTTAACTGTGTTTATTATTGTACCTTTTGGTGTAACCAATAATGTCATTTTAGAATTCTTCAAGAGTAAGCTGGATTGCCTACTCTTTGTGCCAACAAGAGTAATAATAGTAGCAATATAGTTTTTTTTATTGTTGCTAGTAGAAAGTTAAGTTGTTTGTGTCTTTGATGTAGTTTTTCTAACTACTATTGTGTTGTGCATGGTTGTATTTATTAGAACTTTCTTAAGAAGGTTATGTAAGAAAACTTTTATCATAAGTTGAAAAAAGTTTCTTTATTGTCACTATTTTAATTTGCTGTTTTTTTTTTCTTTATTATATATTATTTAATTTGTTCTATTTTTATTGTCTTTCTGTTATGCATAAGTGCATATTGGTTCAAAATTTATAATTATTTAGTATTGGTATTTGGCTCTATCTTATTTGGTTTTTTATTTTTATTAATTTTTGTAATGTATAGAAAAGAGTTTGGTCTTATTTTATATTACAATATTAGTTATAATTTAATCAACAAAGCCTCTTTTCAAATATAAAAGAACTCAAAATCAAATAGTAATATTTCTTTTAATATTAATACAAAAAATTTAAAAACTCTTTTCAAATACCTTTCCAAAAACCACATAGAGCAATTCTTGAAAATTGGTTTGATAAATTCTTTAAAATTTATAATGTTACTTTTCTAACATTATTAAAAACAAACTTTTTAATTTTTTTAAATATTAAACTGTAGCCAAATATGTTAAAGAGCATAAAAAGCTACTATCTCAATTTTTTATTATTGAATCTATTATATCTCTTCAAAAGCATACTTTACTAGTTAGAAAATTTACTTTTTTTTATAATTATATTTGCAAAAACTCTAATAAACACAAATGCATAGTCCTTTCATTTGATACTAAACATAACTTTTAAAATTTTTTTACATATTAGTTTGACTAATTTTTTAAAAAATTTTCAGTTTCTGTTTTTGATAAATTAAGTTTATTTATCAAGTTTAATCAACCAACATGAACCAATCTTATCTTAGATTTCTTAATCTTTTACAATGATAATAAACATTCAGTCTCATTCAAAATCCTAATTTTAATTAAACTTTTTTGAAAACTTACTAATTTTGCAGAAAACCAATTTATAGAAATTAACAAAACTAGGGATGTAGTGACTTAGTAAAGTAGTCAAGTTATTGCACCCCAAGTAACAAGGCCTAAGATTTTTTTTTTTTTAAATATTAATAATAAAGAGGTCTAAGATTTAATTCCTACTAGTAACAAATATTGAATATTAAAATCTTGTATATCTTAATTGGTATGTTGACTTAATTAGAAATATTGGCTTATTGGCTGTAATTTGTAGTACAAAACCAAGTAAAGTTGGTAACAGATTTGCAGTAATCTGTGTTATAATATTTATATCTGAAAGCTTATAACTATGAGAAGTTTCTAATTAGATATATAAAGAAATACAAGCTGATATATATAGATGTATCTCTAAATATTGTAAAATAGTCAGTGTAAACACAAGATATAGTAAATCTATATTAAGTTACAGTAGATCTGTGTTAAGAAATTTACAAGAACACCAAAGTAGTAAGAATATGTTGTAAAGTTAGTCCCAGGGTTGGTGTAAACTCTATAGTATATCCTGACTGTCAGTGTTAATCTTAGCTATAGTAATACCAGGTCAGTTGTAAGAATAAGATACAAAAGATTCTGGAGGGTTTAGTACAAGGTTAAAGATTCCAAAAAACTGCTTTAAAGACTTAGTAGTCATAGCATATTTTTACTAGTATTAGCTAGAGTTATTGGTAGATAGGTGGATATAGAAACTAAAGTGATTAAATAGAAAACCTACAAGCAGGTTTCAGATATGACAGCTAGTGTAAAACCTTTGGACAAACTACTTAAATTAAACAATGACTAAAGTTGTATGAGTGGCTACTTGTACACTCTTTCTATAATTGCCTTCTGTAGTTGTAATGCAATCATTAGCCAAATATACTATCAATAAAATTCTGAGTCACAAGTACTTATCTTAATATTTAAAAAAAAAAATCTACAAAAACACTAATTAGAAAGACCATTTGAAAAATCTTGAATATAATGTTCATATCTAAAAGCTTATAACTGCAAGAAGTTTTTGATTAGGAATATAAAGGAATACAAGCTAATATACATAAATGTAACTTTGAACATTGTAAAATAGTTAGTATAAACACAAGATAAAACTATACTAGAAAAACAGGTACTGTTAATGTCTAAAGCTAAAAATATAAGTATATATTGATTATCAGCAAATTTTGGTTTATCAAACTAATCTGTATTAATTTATATAGTTTGATTGGCAATTATTTGATCACATGATTAGAATTCAGCACAAAATCATATCAATTGCTCTACTATAGAGTTCTTGCTATACTTTAAACAATAAGGATTAGTATAAACATGCAGAATAAGAACTGCATAGTTTACTTGGCATTATTATTATACAAACAATAAACAAAAATATATACAAACTGATTGTCTTCTACAAATATATAAATGCAGTCACTATCTTACTAAAAGATACAACCAATTGTAGTTAGTAAAAAGAATAATATATAAAGGCAGATAGTTAAGCCTTTAATATGTGAAAGGCCAAGATAATGATGATCAGACCCAATGTATAGGGCAGACTATAGTATCTTGCATAGCTATGAGACCTGAACATATAGTGATTGACTCTGTAGAAGACAATCTTGAAAGATTATTCTCAACATCTTTAAAATCCTATAATCTTCATACATGTTTTAACAAATTCTTTCTTTATTATAACTTGCTACTTCTTTCTTATGATCAAATCATTCAATCTTTTATACAATATATTGACAAATATAACCACAATAACACTGTCTCTAGTATTACTTTTTCTATTAATAAGACTTATTATGAAACTCATATA